TGTCTGGTCCCCATGGAGCACCCAGATGTCCCTGAGAGACTGACCTTTGGAGCTCTGGCTGCCCTTCTACCCTGAGATTGCCTGTTCCATATCCAGTCTGGCTTCAAAGACACCCCCAACTCACACACACACTGAGGTACCCTCCCAGATGCCCCCTTTCATACTCCCTAGCCTCCCTGAGCTCTGTCACATCTGGAGTTTTCTTCTCCTTTCCTCCTGGAGAACCTGGCTTTCCTTGCCATTTCCATGCCCTATGGGATTCCTGACTGCCCCACTGCTCACTCTAAGGGAAGAAGATGACCCCAAGTTCCGTCCTGACTCCCTAGAAGACTCATTTCACCATTCCTCCTTGTTTGCCAGAATGCCATTTTCATTAAGATGAAGACTTCCCCCACCATGTGTGTTCTTAAACTTTTCACCTTTAATTTCCACTCCTGTTTCCACACTCATGTCAATGTCCACTGCTGTGGTGACCTCATCTTGAGCAGAGAGAGATGGAGACCCCATATGACAGAGTCCTTCCTGGTGACTGTGTCCTCCCTTTGCCTTACTTGGGCACACATCACATGCTTTTAGGTCTAGGTGAGGATCGGAACAGTGAGGATCACACAGGACTATGTGGTGAGTGGACACGTGGTGAGTGACCATGAAACAAGTGACACAGTGAGGACACTTACCACACACGATGAGGAACACACAGAGAGTGACATATTGTAAGAAAAGCACAAGGAAGACCATATGGTGAATGACCAACGAGGACCATGTTGTGCATGATACACAGTAAGGAACATGCAAAGAATGGTCATATTGTGAGGACCACAGTGAGATTACCTAGTGAATGACAGGGTGAGAACGACACATAGAGTGACCACGCAGAGAGGACCATGCAGTTAGTGACACATGGCAAGGTCCACACAATGAAGACCACATGGTGAGAGACATATGACAAGTGACTACACAGTGAAGACCACACAGTAAGTATTACATGAGTGGCATACAGTGAAGACCATGCAGATAGTGACATGTTTCAAGGAAAACACAATGAAGACAAAGTGGTGAATGACATACAGGGAAAACCATATGGCAAATGACCACATACTGAAGACCACACAGAGAGGGTCTGCTTAGTAAGGACCACACAGTGAAGATCATGTGATGAGTGACCAGACTCAGCATATAACACAGAGAGAGTGGCCACAAAAGTGAGGTCCACACCATGAGGAACATACAGTGAAGGTCATGTGTTAAGTGATTATGTGGTGAGTGACACAGTGAGGACCACATGCTGAAGAACATGTAGCAGGTGCCCACACAGTGAATGACAGGTTGAGGATCACATGGTGCATGATTATACTGTGAGGATCACATGGTGAGTCACTACACAGTGAGTGACACAGTGAGGACCACATAGTAAGTGACCACGTGGTGAGTGACACAGTGAAGAATATATGATGAGAGACCATGCAGTAATTGACATGCACTAGGGACCAAGCAGTGACTGCCATGGTGAGGGCCACCTAGTGATGGCTATGTGATGAGTGACCATGCAATGAGGGACACAGTGAGGACCATGACACTATAAGTCACCACGTGATGACCATGTAATGACTACAAAGAGAAGATCACACGGTGAGGACCACATTGAGGACCACAAGACAAGTGGCCAAGTTCTGAGTGAAACAGTGAGGACAACGTGGTAAGTGATCACACTGTGAGGAGCATTCAGAAAAGATCATGTGGTGAGTGACCATGTAGCAAGTGACCATGCAGTGTAGGCCTCTCAGGGAGTGAGAACTCAGCAGGAATTTGTGAAGGGAGTCCCATAAAAAGATTCCAAAAAGGACCAATTCCAGCACCTCAATTCCAATCTTATCTTGGACACTAGCCCTGGGATCCCCTCCAACTTGGCCCTTATTCTTCCATAAGGCTCAAGAAGCCTCAAGACCCATGGGTTATGGTGTATGTGGTGACAAACACCCTGTCACCACAAGCTGTGCTGGGACATGACTCCTCCCCATATACCCTTTGCAACAAGAAAGCATCTAGTTAAACAACACATCACAAGAAGGCAGTTTAAGGAGAATATATATACACATTTATTCCAGAGCCACAAGCACATACACAACAAAGCAGCACTTAGAACAAAGTCAACATGCATGTCTAGAAAGAAGCCTGTTCTCAGAGCTCAAAGCCAAAGGGGACATGGAGGGTGCTGTACAAAAGACCAGAGAATGCAGGCTGGGAGCCCAGAGCCTGAAGGCTGCACTTCCTCTGGTCTGATCTTGAATCTCAGACATCTTTCCTCTGTGATGGGTCACTTCACCTGCAGATACAAGGAAAGCATGAGTTAGTCTCCCATTGCTGGAGTGACAGTGAGAGGCAGTGAGCTTGGCAGGACGCATGAGGCAGGCACTCAAGACCAGTGAATTTCCTGATGCTGTCATGGCCCTGTGTGCTCCCAGGCACGTTTGGAGCCACTTTGCCTTCCTCTTCCTGCCCAGCAGAGAGAAGATAGACGCTGTGCACTACAAGTCACGGAGCCACACCGTATCCTCCCACCCTGGGAGGTCAGTGACTGTGGAGGTCTTGGGGATTCAGTGGTCTTGCTTCCAATGGGGCCGCACACCCAGCAGGGTCTCTCTTGTCTTCTCTCCCACTGCACCCACCCTCAGCCCCTCTGCAAGGACTAGACTACATGGCTCTCCAGAGACCCCCCTTGACCCCAGGTGGGCTACCTTGAACAGGGTGACTGTGGTGCTGTAGAAAAGGCTCAGGAGGAAAAGCACAATAAAGGTGGAGGCCATGGCCCACAAGTTCTCGAAGCCCTCCTCCTCGGCGTTGACTTCCCCCTCTGTGAGGAAAATAGGACACACAGGAGAGGCAGCTTGCATTGGCACCCAGGGAAGTTAGTGACAGGGTCCCAGTACAGCTTGCCCCTGGACTGAGGGGCTGGAAAATGGCGGCTCAGTAGCCACCCAGCCCTTCTGGGGCTCAGGATGAGGAGCTGTTGCCAGAGGTCTGAGACCACACTGGCCCCATGGATGCACACATGGTGGGGACTGGGAGCAGTAGTAGCAAGAGGACAGCAGGGAGGTGATGCAAACAGAGCGCTGGCCAGAGAGGAGTAGTGACAGAGGGGAGGGGGTACACACTGCTGGGGAAAAGCCTTCCACAGATTCCTGCTCCACCAGCCCTGCCTGTCTTTTGGGGCTAGAGCCTCCTGATCTTTCTGGAAGAATCTGTGGCCAAGGAGGCACGACCTAAGATCCCCTTGACACCTGATGGGCATGAGTGGGTACACGCTGGACCGAGGAGCATGCGCAAGTTGAGTGGGCTGGTGATACCTACACCCTATTGTAGGAGTCTGAGCGACCAGAGCACTCTGCACATGACACTCGGGGACCAAAACCCACAGAACCAGGGGCTGGGCCCCAGTAGAAGACTCCTAATATGTGCTAGAGCTTCCTTGAGGGCAGTTATGGAGGTAAGACCTCCTACATAGTGATTTGCAGTCACTGTGCTTGGCCACTGTGGATGGGTGGGTGGAGGTGGAACACCCAGGCAGTTGGATGTCAAGGCCTGAGAGGTGGCCTCTAGGACCTCTCTTGTTTCTGCTACATCTTCATATCCACAGAGGGTCTCACTTTCTGCCTCTACTCTAAGCAAGGGAACATTCTAACTAGTTATGCCTTGCCTGATGCCAAGGACATAGGCAGACAGGACAACTAGGGGACCAGAAGAGTGACGGCAATGCATAGGCTGAGGATGGTGCTGAATAACCCTGGAGGGCATCTGGAGCTCAGGCCTCTGAAGGGTTTGGTGCTGGGAGCATCCTGGGATGGTCCCAAGGACTGGTGCTGCTTTCAAAGCCTGCTGGGTCCTCTCTAAGGTTCTACACCCTCCCCAGCCACTGGCTCCCACATGCCTTCTGGAGGCAACTCGGGAATTTTGCAGGGAATTAATACAACTGTCACTAGTCTCCCTGAACCTTCCGACTGAAGGATGTAGAGGGTTCCTCCTGGGTCTCTGCCTCTGTCCCAAGGTCCTGGCTATCTGACCTCAGGGTGTGGGCATGGACTTCTGGTTCTGTGCACAGACAGGGCCTGGAAGTTGACTGCCTTATCTAGACCCAAGTCTGGGAAGGTTAGCTCTGCCCAGGGCCAGCCCTTCTCCCTTCCAGCACAGTGCCTCCCTGAGATGCTGTGCCTGGCTGAACCCGAGGGCTCACCATGGACCTCTGAGCCCTTTGCCCAGGCCTGGAGGCTGCGGCCCATGTCAGATTCTGATCTAGGCCACTCCTTCAAGATGAAGCAGAATGACAAACTAGCTGTGACCAAGGTGCAAGGTAGTAGATGTCTATGTGTGTATGCATTTGTGTCTGTGTGTCCTTTTTTGTGTCCATGTTCATGTGCATGTTTCCATGTGCACGTGTCTCTGTGTATGCATGTGTGTTTGTGTGCCCGTGTGTG